TCTTTGAAACTGAATTGTTATGCTCCTTGGAACAGAAAACTGTGAAAGTTTGCTGTGTTTTTCCTGTTCCTCGAAAGGTTTTTTATATGTTAAGTTCAGTTCATTCAAAAGAACGGAAGAACACATTCTGAAATCTTCTTTGCTGCGGGTTTTAGCGGGGAGAAGGAACTTACAAAAAAGAAATAATGACAGATATATTATTGCGGATTTGTATTACTTGTATTCTTCAGTGAATGAAATTATACTCTTCTGTATAATGATTTTACACTTGTTTGTCCGGTGGTGAAGAGCCGGTTAGCAAGTAAGTCCCGCTGGTTCGATTTCTTCGACAGCAGGTGAAAGCCTTATGTTGGCCGTGAAATTAGTGTGGGTGCTGCTAGGTCGACTGGGGTTACACTGGCCAATACAGTCATTCCTCGTCACAAAAAAAAAAATTGATTTAAAAATAAAATATTTATTAATTGAAATAATTATTTAGTAATAAATTTAATTAAAGTATTTACTTTTAAGTTTATTTTCTATTCCTTTATTTCAATTTTTATTGGACTTACCTTTTTTTTTCTAGTGATAAAACCCGCAAATGGGCCTAGGCGTTGATTAAAAGAGAATTAAATAGTCCTTAAAAAGTACTGCCATGATGGATAAAAAAAAAATCAAAAAAATAAAGCCTAAAAGCCAAAGGTTCTTGCTAAGCACCAGTACAAAATTATCTAGTACAATCTAGAGAAGCCAGGAGCTCAAATCCCCAAAACAAAAGAAGAAAAAAAAAACTTTCAGCACACTATCCTGCAAAATGAAAACAAAGAGAGAAAAAACCTAATATATCGAAATCCTCCAAAACAAAGTTAGAGACATAAGAAGAATAGCTGTAGGAGGAAAACAAAAACAATAATTAGAAAGCTAAGAACATATTTAAAGTAATTAAAGGGATATGAGCTCAAATAATAGATAGTCAAATGAAAAGGCTTTGTTACTTGTATCAGATGCTAATTAATGAAATTGACTGAGGCTGTTTTCATTACATTTGTCTTTAATCCACAGAAGTACCTAATTGTACAAAAAATAAAGAGATATGTATTGATAAATTTCAGTTCATTGATCTCTTGCTGGTCTTAACACGATTGTTTTTCGGAAAAGGCCCTGGTATCTCCCGTCGTTTAAAAACATGTTAGACACTAAATTGTTGAGGAAGTATCCTAGAAAGAGTGGAAGTTAGTATTCCAGGACATGATAACTATTTTCAAGATAGACATTTTCAGTGATTGAAAGAATAAGTAGTTTTTTTTAGTTTCTGATTTTTGCCTTTAATAAAATGAATGATGTGACTAACAGTTCATGATTCCATGATAAGTTTAGATGATTCAATGTAGCTTCACTCCCTAATTTATGAGGTAAATCTTGAGGTGTAATAGCATTAGATGGATGGTGGAAGAGTGAGTCCTGAGTTTTCTTCGATAATTTTAGCCCAAAAATAAACAAGATATTTGTGAGCCATATATTAAGAATTCTTACACCAAGAGAACGTCTTGTTAATTAATATCGATATAGAGTTATCACAGATGAATGAAGTTTCAGAAGTGCTCTTTCTCTATAGATTTGGGCATCGAAATACTTTATGTAATCTATCATCTCGAAAGTGAGATAGAAGGGTGCTAAAGCTGTGCATTGGTAGACCTCTAGTGACGAGAGAATTAGAGTGTGTCACAGAAATATTGTAGAACATTTTAAATCTCACATGATCAAGAAGCCACAGTTGCAAGGGCTACCTGTTTATAAAGCAACTGTACTCTTATCAAACATGTTGTTAATATGATCTTGCTCAGAGTATAAGATACTTTTCAGTCACGATTCGCGCAAAGAGAGATACGTGAAAAAATAAATTGTTTCTAAAAATGATGTATGAGCCTTTGTCCTGTCAGATACACTTAAATCACTCTCAGATCTCAAGCACGAAGGTCCTTAAGCTAGTCCCTACTTGTCGTGTGTGGGCAATTATCAGATTTTTTTGGTTCTGATGGCGATTCCGGTTCATTTCACTTATCGGTACCTCACCTCATAGCATGAATGATTGTGATACAGGTATCATGGATTACTTGAGTTGTCGCGAGGGACCAGTAGTACTTTATGCTGTGTGTGCTGTAAATGTGAGGTCAGATACGCTTCAGCTCGAGTATAGATGTTGTAGATGCGGTGCCGTTGCCACATCTTTGTTAGATATGAGGCCAACTTCGGTATAGATCTCAAATTTGCTGTTTTGTCCTATTGTTCGCTCTCAAATCTTCGATGATGTCTCTGGGCCCACAATAAGCTCCATGCAACTCATATACTAAGCTGACTCTGTGTAGTTGGTGCACTTTCCAAAACTATACTTAGTCTCTGAAGTAGGCTCAGGCTTAATCGCTGTAGTGTCATCATAGGCTTATTTGGAAAACACCGAATAAATGACTAATGATCCGGTCGCGATGTTTGGAGTTTCAGGAATAGTAAGTCGAGATACTTTTTTGGGAAATGATGCCGCCTAAATGTATTCCTTGTTTTATTTTTATTTTTTTAATCCACCATATTTATTAATGACTATTATCGAATAATGCTCTTAATATCTGTAACCTCTATATGTTATGTCTTTTGTCTAGGAATTAAGAAATTGCTCTTGATTATTGTCACTAGTGTTTATAATTTTTTTTATTTAAGAGTTGCTATTAAAGTTCTTAACGTAAATAATTCAATTAAATGATAGAACTTAAATATTAGTACGGTTTAATGTAATGGGTGCGGTGACCTGCCGGTCACAATGGAGTGGTAGCTCATCGGAGCTCTATTAAGTCAACTATATTAGCCGGTGAGCAGTAGGGTGCCCTCGACCTTAAGCCTAATGGATCTTGGCGGACTTCAATTAACTCGAATTAGTGACCTCGGAGTACTAGTCTCAAGAGAGTTGAGCTTTAAGTGTTTCAATCTTACACCATTGATAGTTGTCTTAGTCTGCCTTTATCTATAATGATTCTGGTATCCTAGTGAGAGTGGTTCTCTATCATGACCGCAAAGTCCTGGACCCACGGGTAGGGAATGTCATATTATTAGAAGCGAAGTCGGAAGCTTGTTGGTGGGTATGTTAGGACTCTATGAGCATTAGTCTCAAATGAGCGATAATTTCCCTTGTGATAAAGTGAAATTGCTGGCGAGAGATGTAATACATATTCCTATTTCTATAAATGAGTGATAGATTTAAGTGAATTCCTTTGAACTTTGGATGACTCTGAATGTTTTAGAATTTGGGAAGTTAGGTTTTATAGAATTTTGCAAGAAGTAATAATGAGTTCTTGTAGATTATGTATAAGTATCGCTCGTTGTATTTCCTTTGCTTCTGTCGCTGGTGTACATTTTGAATCACATAGAATAAGTTTTATTGGTATGATCTTTGTTGATACTACTTGGATCGTTGTGCGGTGTGGTAGTTATCACATGTGATGCAGCTTATAGATATACGTCCGTGGATAATAGCTAGAGACTTTGGTGGACATCAGAAATTTGTGATTGATTTTTATATTCTGTGACAGATTGGTTGTAGTTATAAATTTATTTGTAAACCAAGACTCCTTATTGTGTATGAGTAAAGTTGATGAGTTCTTGACACCGATGAATATATTATTATAGAGGTTTACGAGTTCCGTACGCAGGTCCGACCTACATTTACACTCATAGGTAAGAACAACTAGATGTCTTAAAAACAAACGTTGTTTAATTTATTAACATGTGTGTGAAATGATTTCCTGTTCTAGTTCTTCCGAGTTATTCAATTGGAATTCTTAACTTAGTTGTATGAGAGTTGAAAATCGTGGGCTCATTTACTTGAAATGTGTGAAATGTATATAGTGAACCCTTCTTTCTCTCTCTCTTGCACGTCATCTATCTCTAGATATGACAGAGCTCATGATCGATTGTGAGATTGTTCAGTCTGAAAGCTCAAGGTTTGATGCGCTTTAGTGAGCACTTTGTTCCTAATATGGATATATCTATGCCAAAATATGTTGAAACCTGCAGGTTATATCGTTCCTCTATCGTGTCAATAGTTATATTGCGTATATTCATTACTTTCTCTGCCACGTCCACCTTTGGACTACAGTCTGCGCTAGTTTTTATCTAATCTAAAGTATTTTTGTTTTTATTTTCTGTAATGTTCTATGTTCTCACAGTTTCGTGGCCTGGATTGAAATGTTCGTTAACCTCGTACTTTATTCTGACTTTTTAGTTCTGATTGTGATTGAGATGTCTCATTTAGTTCTTCATTAAAAGTTCTGATTTAGATCTTAGTTGGGCAATTAATCATGGTGAAATTTAACATATGTTCTTAAACGGGATTTTTTTGGGGTCTAGAGAGCATGTTGTTGAAATTGTGAGAGAATTTTAGGAATTATGGTAGCATTGTAATATCTAAAGAATAATTTAAAAACACAGGATAAATCTAGATCAAATCATTTGTGCCCACAGTCGTTAAATTAATATTAGATTATATTGATTGCATTCATATACCACTAGCCATTGAAATCCAGTGTTGCCGATTGCTATTTGAGTTCTTCTAGCATTACGGCCAGTTTATGCACTCGCTGGCTTAGAGATTTTTTTATAAATGTGCCTATTTAGTTTGGCTTTACAATTTGATCTTGACAGTTCTCCAGCCAAAGTTTAATGTACTAAAAAACTGTGAAACTGTATGGTGGTTCGTTCTTCTGGGGCTAGTAAGCGAGTTGAACACCTGGAAGTTAGCGATGACTGGGTTGTGTCGAGTTCGTCTGTGGTATTAGACAATTGCAGTCATAATACCCTCTAGGACACTTCAAATGAAATGCCGCCATTCTGTTTGACTAGTTTTTTTTTTTTTAAAAGCTTTGCCCTATTTCACGTGAATATATTTGAAATGGTTATTCATTGCGTCCATTAAATTTTATGTTCTTGATGTGTGTTTTTTAGTTAATAAATCTATATAGACCTCTTTTTTGTATGGTGAAATTCTCATTGTTAATAACTTATTGTGTTAGTGGGGGATTTGCAAATAAGAGTACTTTAAAAATTACGATTCTAGCAATGGTGATTAAGGCTATTAAAGAGTGTTTGATGTAGAAGTTCGAATTCAGG